GTCAACTTCAGCACCCTTGGCCTACTTCGTGTCACACTATGGGAACAAGGGAAAAATCATGGATCAGTTGGCAATTCCTTCGAACTCAGTCGCTGCATCCAAAATGAAATTCTTGTTTTAGTATGCAAAAAAATCAGCATGGCAATTTAGTATGCAAAATACATATCATTTTTTGCAAGGTGGCACAGTGGCTCAGTGGTTAGAACTGTCACACCACAGCTAGAAGGTGGCTGGTTTGAGTCCTGGCTAGGCTAGTTGTTTTCTGTGTGGAGTTTGCAAGTTCTCCCCGTGTTCGCATTGGGTTTCCTCCGGGTGCTCCGGTTTCCCCCACAGTCCAAAGACATTTGGTATAAGTGTGTATGGGTGTTTCCCAGTACTGGGTTTGTGACATGAAGGGCATCCGCTGCATAAAACATATGCTGGAATAGTTGGTGGTTCATTTGTGGTGACCTCTGATAAATAAGGAACTAAGACAAAGGAAAATTAATGAATTAATGTTTGATGACAAACTACTTTCGTCAAAATTCTGACGTATGCTTGTGACGTTCACGTTACTATCCCGTGAAGTCGCAGGAAAGGGTTTATGAATGACAGTGACGCATGTAACAGGGACAACATATTATAATTTTCAAGCTATTCAGACTGTGTGCTGTTTTGTGCTCTTATTGTATAATGTGCAATTTAAGTGCAGGGGGCTGACCAGTAAGTGCAAAGAACTTTTCAACAGGTTTCCAATGAGTTTCTGATTTGATTTTTAGTCTTATTATTTTTCAAAAAATATCCATTAATAATATCTTTCAACTGTAAGTTTTTACATTAGGGTTTGAAGAACATGAAAATACTTCTGAAGCATTTGTGACAACTGTACTGCTCATTGTCAGTTATAGTTAGTTACTGGATTAACTAATATTAATTAACTGGTCATATTTTCAAGTGTTGATAAAAGATTATGACAGCTATCTTTCAGTTAATGATAGCTTTTGTGATTTATTCAGTGATGCATGAGTGTATTTAATTATACGCTGTCAAAAAAATGCTTTTCTTACCTTAAGTTTTAGTCTTTTTTCTGAAGTCTAAATATCAAAATTCTTCAGTCAACATTCAAAAAATGATGATGGCTGTTTGTTCAAACTACTTATTTAAAATGAGCTAAAACAACACAGTTGGAGATTTTTTTTTTTTTTTGGAGGGGGGGGGGACTTAAAAGTTATTAGTTCAATCAAAGATTATATTTGTAAAAACGAGTGTTTCTTGATGTTGTCCCAACACAAATCTACTGTGTGAAACCCAGCATTTTTTTAACAGTAAAAAAGCATTTTCTAGACAAGTCAAAAATATTGTTTTGTTTTCAAAATAAGTCAAAATTTAGTAGGATAAAATGGGATAAAAAGTAATTTAATCTTGTTTTTGATTGGAAATAATGCTTATTCCACTGGCAGTGCTTTGAAATATGCAGTTTTATTTGATGTATGATGTAATCTTAATCAAACCACAATGAGAGGGTGGGACATAGAGAAGCCCCTCCCCTTTTTATAAACAGCCAATAGCGTTTTGCTTTATCACTGCTCTGCCAGTGAGAGTGGTTGAACTCAAGCGCCTCAATTGAAAAGCAAATGAGTATTGTCTTAAAGGGGGCGGGCCATGTCAGATCCTAGAGAGCATTTGATTGGTCTCGATTTGATGAGAAACTGTAGCATGAGGTGACATGAAAAAACGTTGATAAATTTAGGCGGAAGTGACAAACTACAAGCTAAATATGTTTATATCAGTTTTATATCTACTCAAAGCAAACTTTATCACTGTTTTGAAGCACACTAGCTTATAGATATCTAAAAAAAAACTGACAATACTGTTATTGACATGTAAAAAATGTTATTTTAATTTAATGGCACCTTTAAAAATAAATGCTCACCTAATATTAACTTATTTCTAAAAAACAATAGAATATTTGCTACTTTGAAAACACCATGTTTTAAGATATTTTAGATATTTTTACTAGAAAAAAAGTCAAACTTTAAGTTCAAAAAGCATTCTTAAACCTCTATTCAGTGCTTCAACCCTCAATAAATTTCCTACATATTAAGATACATGATCAATATTAACTTTGAATTGGTTTGCAATCTGCAGCATTTCAACATCTAAGGTTCTCAGTCAGTTTCTAAAATTCCTTTGTTGAAAATACACCATCACATCAACTGTTCACTTTTCAATTTTCGGGTCGTCTCAAGCATGATTCTCTTTAACAAGATCTAGACACATCAACCATCTGCAGCCATAAACATCAAAGCATCAGGAAAACTGATGTGGCCTTGCTGAACTTCGTCTTGGAAATGTACTGTGCGGTCTGCGTTTGGATGAATAGTGTCTTGGAAATATAATGGAACCTGTTCCATTAAAACTCAGGATGGGGGTCATTGATTTACCACCAGTCTTTCAGCAGTATAATGGCTGCCCCTTCAAGCACCCTGAGAACACCGGGGTACTGAGCTTCCGAAAAACTGTTTAAAAATAGGTCTCATCGGGACAGCCATGATTATGAATGCAGCTGCAACACGCTTGCGAATGTTGTGCTAAAGTCTAGGTAATATTTGTTTGCAGGGTGTATTTAACACTGCTAGTGTCTGCAGTTATTGTCCCTTTCTGTTTTTCCTCTTCTCCAAGATGACAAAATGAATGTACTTGACTCCCTGTTTTTTACCGTGTGGCATTTACAAAAAGTCCCTCTGACATTTTCCTTCTCTTTCTGCACTTTTCTCCCTACGTCTCATCTTTTTTTATTACCTTTTTCTTATTGGCCAGAAAAAAAACACTCTTATGAAAAACAAATCTGCATAGCCTTTATTTTCCCTCTAATTTTCTCTCCCTTTCGTCTGCCACGGTCATCTTAATGAAGCACAATGCAGGTAGTTAACAACAGAACACAGAACTACGCCTTCCAGCACATCTGTTCCAGCAGTTCAGACCACCACTGATTTAACAGCGGGCATAAGTCTGACACCGATTACACAACTTTGACCTTGGCGGAAAAGAAAGAGAAAGAAGAGAATTTGCAGGTGTATGAGTGTAAACATTCATGTGGGTAAAGGAAGATATTGAGGCCAAAAGAAAAGACAGAGTGGCTCTCTTCCAAACCCTAGTGAGTCTACTGTCTTAACAGGCAGCTACTCCAAAGCATCCTAATCAAAGATGCTCTGATATGCATTACAATACACAATTCACTGCTGCTCACAAATGGAATCAATGGTTTATATGAAATTCAACAAGTCGTTTTTAAAGTTAGTCATCTAATCTGACTCTCTACTTGTGAATCTATACTAAAACTAGACTTTTTATCTCTTACATTTCAAACAGTTATCTTTTACATTTCAAAAGTATATTTCAAAAAAATAATTACCTTAAATTAATAATTAACTTATGTTTTGGAGTGTTTGCTTAAAACAAAATAAATGTTAAATAATAAATGAAAGAATGAATGAATTAAATAATTAATTAATTATGATAATAAAAGCTAAATAATGTTACTTTGTATGTTGATATACATGACATATAATATAAATAACAGTATTAACATTTAATATAATTTACATTTTTATTGATGAAATTGTCTAGCATGATTAGACATAGCAACTTTATATCACACTTTAATATATATATTTTAAATAAAAATATTATAAATATATTTTTGATCAAACCTTTAATCAAAGGTTTGGGATCTCAGAGTAAGACCTTTTATTGTTTTAATGCAATGTACAGTAATGTAAAATTTCTATTTTGATTTATTTTATATCGCAATTAATTATTGTGATGCCATCAGTACCCCAGACCTCAGTGTCACATGACCCTTCAGAAATCATTCTAAGATGATTCCAGTGGGCACACAACATCATAAAGGCTAATTTATACCTTTGCGCCAGGCGCACACGTATGATAATGGTGACGCCAATACTGACACACAATGCGTAGCGCAAGCTCTGTGATTAGTCAGCTTTAGTATCGCTGACGAGTGTGGGTGGGACCGAGAGCCACGCACATCTGATGGAGCGAGTTTTTACAAGCGTGGAGTCCCCTGAAGGAGCTCAAGATGAAAACCGTTATTTTGTGTTTACCTTATGATTTGATGCACATCTGCCGGCTCCTGCCTCTGAATGAGCGAGTTTGAGCTACTTGTAGCATTCAGAAAAAACAAAACACCCGCGAAGAAACTTGACACAGAGGAATTTAAAAACCTACTGCCATCTAGTGTTTCGGAAGTGTTATTGCAGAGCAACACAAACAGCATGCAGAGGTATAAATGCATGGCAACGTGGAAGGCATACTCCGTGGGTCACGCCGATCACTCGACGCAGAAGTATAAACCAAATATAAATATTAGGTTAAATATAGGTTGTAAAGTGTTAAGTTGATGAGTGACCAAAATACAATGTTAAGCCAACGTCATATTGACGTCAAATATAGACATTTATTCGTCAGGTATGGCAACTAAAATACAACATCTGATAGATGTCGTAGTGGTAACTTCCACACAACATCAAGCTGTAACATCATTAGACATTGATATTTGGTTGTTTTTAGGTAAGTGACCAAAATGCAATGTCTGTCCGATGTTGGACAATGACGTTGGGTTCTGACGTCAACCCAATTTTCATTTTCACCCAAAGTGCAATGTCACACGACGTTGGGGTACAAAGTCAATCTAACGTCATGCTTACTCCCTTTGATTGCTGGGATTGCTCAAAAAATGTATTTTATTGATGAAAACAATTTGAACTTTAAGTTCTCTGAAAAAATCTTTAAGTTAAAATCTGTATTTATTAGAAATAGAAACTCTTGTTTTTAATTTGATGGACCTTTGAAGAATATCCTTTATCTGTAACACTCCGGAATTGATTTATTCACCAAAAATAAACATGTGGTCTTTTAACCAAAATAAAAGATAAATTGCACTCATCTGAAAAACCTTTGCACCTAAAACGTCTAGTTGGTGGTTGCGTTTATCATACCTTGGCAGCCATGATCATGGAAGACCCTCCACGGATACCCAGAATGGGGATGTGCGTCTGAGCCGAGATGAAGTCCAATATCTGGGCGATGGCCTCCTGATCGGTATCATCCCCGAACACCACACCCTGGAGCCAGTTGCGTGACATCAGAGCACAGATGCGGTTGATGATACTCTTAGGGTCGGTTTCATTCATGGTGACCAGCTCGACTTTCGGTGGAAGAGGCACGTGTAGAAAGTCCTCTTTCTCCAGACCTTCAGAAAGCGACACCTCGCTGGAGTTTCCCACTAGGATCACCGCGATGCTAAGGCCTTGAGCAAACTTTGGTGACATGGGAGGACCCACTGGACTGACTCCTGGTGGTGGATAATGAGGAGGACTGATAATCGATTGGCTGTTCATGCCTCCGGTGGGCGTCCCGATCCCACCTCCGCGGCGAGACTCGCAGGTGGGGAAGAAGAAGAGCGATAGGAGAAGGAGCGAGATGTAGAGGGGCAGTTTGAAGGAGGAAACAAGGGAGACGAAAGACAGGACGCGGCAGTCGGAGAAAGGGGAAGAGGAGAGGTGGAGGCTGACAAGCATGGCGGAGGAGTGAAGGTACAGTCCCTGCAGACAGAGAAAGAGAGGGAGAACGTTTTAGTTTGTGAGCTGAATTCACATTAAAAACTACATTGAATCTGACTGGTGAACAGTTAAGTCAAGTTAAACCAGCAAGAGACCTGAGGCTTTAAAAAGAGCATATGTCCTCATTTCAAGGGTCTGTCCACTCCATTATTGACATATGTTGGACAGAAATCACAGAAACATAGGCAGTCTTGGGAAATGAGGTCGTTTGCAGCAGGCAATACACACACAAACACACTAAGGACATACAAAAGACTTCTAATGTTTTTACATGAAGCTAATCAGAATTAGGAAGCCTAAAATAAATCAAGCTGTAAAGACTAATTAACATAATATAACTTTGACAATTAGGATAGAGTTATAAAAATGTTATAAGGGTACATTTAAACAGCTCTAAGACTGAGATTTTACTTATTGGCACACCCTCTAATGTTAATAGATGTGGCAATCTCAAGTTAACAGTTGATGAATCTCTTTTAACTTCTTCTATGCAGGTGTGAAATCTTGGTGTCCTCTTTGATGCTCAGCTTAGCCTGAAACCTCATTTTAAACAGTTAACAAACACAACATTTTATCACTTACGCAACATTGCCCGCATCCGTCCATTTCTCTTTAAACACCAGATGCTGAAAAACTTGTCCATGCTTTTATTACGTCTCGTTTAGATTTTTGTAACTCTTTATTTGGGGGTCTGCCAGCCAATTCACTTAAGATCTTACAATATGTTCAAAACTCACCTGCACGTGTGTTAACCCAAACATCATCTCGCTCTCACATTACTCCTGTACTTTAGCAGTTACACTGGTTGCCTGTTAAGTCACGCATCGATTTTAAAACCTTGATTTTAACTTATAAAGCTGTTCATGCTTCTGCACCTATTTATATATGTGACCTGATATCTACCTACTCTTCCTCTCGCAATCTACGTTTTGCTTCGGGGCTCATCTTGTATCAGCCCCGTTGCAAACTTAGGGAGAAGGGTATAAACGGAGGCCGGAGCCAGCTCCAAGTGGGTGGGTCTTGGAGCTCCAAGTGGGCTGGGCAAACCTTATTTAGTTGTATTTAGACTTGAATATTGTGCTTTATGAATTTGTACACCTAACCCTAACCCTAAACCCAACCTCACAGTAACCTGTTGTGTTTTATTAACGTCTACACCTAAATCCAACCCTAAACCCAATCTCACAGTAACCTGATAAACCCAACCTACTTGCGGTTTGAGTCCCTCCCACTTGGAGGTCACCCAACCTACTTGCGGTGTAATTCCTCCCACTTGCAGGTCTCCGGGCTGCAGCAATACCTACTTGAACTTAGCAGCATGGGAGGCAGGGCATTCTCTTATCGTGCACCTAAATTATGGAATGCTCTCCCCACAAACATCAGAAACGCCAGTTCCCTAGACTGTTTTAAGATACTTCTTAAAACTTATCTTTTTATTATTGCTTATAACTTATAAGACCCTATTTTAATATGTATATTTTTATCATTACTATCATTCTTACTTTTTTGTGTATTTCATGTTCTTCTGTGCTTTGGTGCTCTTGCTAGCGCTTTGAGTTTGAAAAAAGCACAATATTAACAAAATGTATTATTATTATTATTATTATTAATATTAATATTATTACTATTACATTTACACAATAAACAAGCTAAAAAAAGCTTTTATTTTTGCTTTTAAAAAGTTTTGTTTTAAGCAACCCAGCAAACAATTTTGTGCTTAATAAACATCTAATAGACATCTAAACGTAGACAGCTTGGCTAAAACAAGGCTAAACTTGGGCTATCAGTGAAAATCTAATAGACATAATAATAGCCCAAAATAGCCTAATAGCCCAAAACTAGACTAGCCGTCAATTAGACAGATTAGACTGACTTTATAGATTAGACTGACTTTATATATCTTGTCATTCATTTCTGTTTGTTTGATGACTAGTGCAGTCTTGGCCTATTCTTAGATGTCTATTGGATTTTCTCTGACAGTCCAAATTTAGCTTTGTTTTAGCAAAGACGAATATGTTTAGACGTCTATTAGACATCTATTAGACATCTTTTAAAAACAAAAAAATGCATGCTGGGAATCCTTAATCACTTGGATCTGCAAAAACTGGCAGTGTGATTTTATAACAAGACAGTGTTTGTCATAATTGGTAAGTGAGTATTTGCTAACCAAAACAACAGTAGTCCAAGCATGTAATATTTATGGATGGGATGTGACCATTTCTTCACACACGTTTAAGTAGTTTAGATGTACATGAAATAGACTTCAAAATGAAAACTTGTAGTGTGAAACTAGCCAATTGCTTTACAGGAGCATTTAAATTGACACGCAACCAAAACTGTAATAATAAATAAAGTATTGCTGTGCTTTGATGTGGATCCCAATACGTCATTCTGGTAACGCTTTACAATAAGGTTCATTAGTTAATGCATTTACTAACATGAACTAATCATGAACAACACTTGTACAGCATTTATTAATCATAATTGAACATTTACTAATGCATTATTAACATTCAAGTCCATGCTTGTTAACATTAGTTAATGCACCATGAGTTAACATGAACTAACAATGAACAACTGTATTTTCATTAACTAACGTTAACTAACATGAACAAATACAGTAGTAAATGTATTGTTCATAGTTTGTTCATCTTAATAAATGCATTAATTAACATTAACTAATGAACCTTATTGTAAAGTGTGACTGTTATTTTTTAAAGTGAACAGGCCTTAAATTTACTGCATTTTATATATTCATAAAAATTATATTTGATGTACCTTTACTTTTAAAGTCACCATGAACTAGAAGTAAATATACTTCCAACTGAAATTGAATATTGAGTAGAGGGCGGGGATTTCTTTTTGCGCTTTTGGCAAATTAACGGTAAGAGGGGCGTAGTTAAGAATATTGTCGGTTGAAGCCATCAATTTGACATCATCAGAGAAGGAGCACCACTCCAAAAACAGATTAAGCAAATAGTCAGACTTTGATTGAACCAAAACACTTTTTTTTTTTTTTTTTTTTGCGGATTAACTTGCATGGATTAATTGTTCAGCTAAAGAATAACAATCTGCACTAGCAAAATAAACATTGCATATTTACATTTCACATGGAAACATTTTAAAACCATCCCTAAAGGAGGTTTTGTCAGATTTAAAGAACAAATTGTGTGCCAGAACAATTACATACATTTTATGATAGAGGCTTGCCACTGACATCAGATGTTTTAAACTAATGCTATTTTTGGTCCCTTATGGGGATATTTGTTTCTTACAGTGCAGACATAGTAGGGCTCAAACATTTGTGCACTTCATGACTTCAAACGATCTCGACTGTAAAGCACTTTCAGAACAAATGTTTGTTTGTTTGTTTGTGTGTGTGTGTGTGTGTGTGTGTGTGTGTGTGTGTGTGTGTGTGTGTGTGTGTGTGTGTGTGTGTGTGTGTGTGTGTGTGTGTGTGTGTGTGTGTGTGTGCACAATGAATACTAAATGTAATTAGATGGGTAAGATACAAGTCGATTTATCAGCAAACAGCTTATTCTCTCAGCAAAAAAAACATCAAAATACACACAGTGGCTGGTATTTGCCAGGTATCTTTCTGTAATGACTTTTAGCAACACTGTAATTATTTATTGTTCCATTATTATTAACATATAAGCAGGACAAGTTAGTCATTAGTCAGACCCCATCCTTTTTTGCGATTCTTCGATCACTGAATCAATGCACAATCAAGCAAAATCAATAAAAAGTTGCAATCATTTTTATATTGTCGTAGATTGCACACATAACATAGTACCCACCTAACCCACATAGTACCCACCTAACCTATATACAGCCACTATATTAGGTACACCTGTTCAACTGCACTTTAACACAAATTTCTAATCAGACAATCACATGGCAGCAACTAAACGTATTTAGGCATGTAGACATGGTCAAGACAATCTGCTGCAGTTTTATTTATATATATATATATTTATTATTTTGCAATAAAAAATTATATATGTGTGTGTGTGTATATATATATATATATATATATATATATATATATATATATATATATATATATATATATATATATATATATATATATATATATATGTATTTGTGTGTATGTATGTGTTTATATTTATATAAATATATATATAGATAGATAGATAGATAGATAGATAGATAGATAGATAGATAGATAGATAGATAGATAGATAGATAGATAGATAGATACATTATATATATATATATATATATATATATATATATATATATATATATATATATATATATATATATATATATATATATATATATATATATATATATATATTAGGGCTGTAACGATACACGATATAAAACCGAAATCGCGACACTCAGATCTACGATCCTGTGTCGCGGTGTGATAAGGGAGAATCGTGACACACCCCGTGATACCTTTCCAATAACGTCACGCGTGCCTGCAAAAGTTGAGCTAATTAACACTTTTTTTCGTTAGACATTACAAGCACTGCTCCGTTTAAGCCCTCGCAATATTTAGCCGGCAGAGCTCGCACGAAGCTCTTAGTAAGGGACCGTCTGAATGTGTCAGGGATGTCAAAAACAAAACTAACTTAACCCTGCTTGACAACCGACAACGCCAGAAACATTGCCAATGCTATCAAAGCGGCCGGATTTTCAGCGCATATACGATGATTTGCTCACACTGTTAATGTGGCTGCGCAGAGAGGGATGGGCCTTCACCAGATGTCAGGTAACAGCGCAAACCTTTCTGTAACCGTGCTGTGCGCTTTCTGTTTGAACATTTGAGAGTGCTGACTGACAGGTGCGTGAGGTCAGAAAACACGACGAAGCTTTAAGTTAAGATGAACACAGTTTCTATAGCTATACTTTATTTAGAGATAAAGGTATATGACTCTGCATATAATCACTTCACAATCTTGCTGGAGTTTATAGCCGTTTCGCTTTACTTCAGGACGCATTAACACCGC